AATAACAGAGCTTAGAAGATAAGGAATTTAAGACACAAAGCCCAGTGAAATCTAACTGGAAGCCAATGCCTAGAGGCCATAGACAGTATTCAATAGGCAGTATTCAAGTAGATATCAGCCACCAGGTAATCAGCATTACAAAGATAATTTTCCAACATTGTATGGCATTCTAATTGAGCTAGCCCTTTCAAAAAGCCTTAAAATTCCATGGGAGAACAGAAAATTTAAAATATTTAAAAACGAGTAGAAAATGGAACCTTCTAGATAGAGCTGGTTTTGCAAGAACAGTGCCTGCTGGTGCTCGACAATGTATGGGGACTAACAGTTAAGGGAATTTATAACAGACGTGCTTGAACACAACTAGGAAGAGAACTGAATTGTTCTTTGCTTTATCTGCCCAGAACCTCGGCTCCCCCAGGGAAATATCCCTCCTCCTCCTCCTGCCCCCTGGCTATAGCAACAGCAGCCCCATTAAAATGTACCCCAAGGGACACCAGCCTAACTTGGGCAAATCAGAGCACCCTCCCTCTGACTATAACTCTTCCACTCTGAGTAACATTCAAATGCCTCCCATACAGATTTTTAGCCCTGCCTCTGTCTCTCTCTGACCCCTAACTCATCTGCTACCTTTCTCCCATTCACTTACTAAGTTCTAGCCATCCTGGCTGACTGGTATTCTCAGCTCATCGCTTTTGTACCTTTCCTCTTCTCCTCCTGTAACGGTCTTCCTTCATTTTTTGATGGCTGGTTTCTTCATGTCAAATTGAGTCTCATATGTCATCTCCAAGAAATAGCCTCTTTTATCTCTATCTAATGGTGACCTCCATCCCATCGCTTGCTATGTGTATTACTTTGTTTTAATTTAGCACCATTAGAAATTGGCTTACATATTTATTTTATATATGTCCTTGCCTCTCAGATATTTATATTTTAACTTATTTATTACCTGACTCTTCCCATGAGACTGTAAGATCTTAACTGTCTGGTTTACCCTTGTATGAATGAATGATTGTTACAGAATGGATAAGGACCTAAACCTGGTCAAAGTGTTCCATCTGCTTAAACTGTGGGCTTTGTGTTCCAAGGTGAGTCAAGTTCATCTTTTTGGGTATTGAGTGTGTGAACTAGGAGATAGAAAGCTCACGGTAACTGGTTTTCCACCACGTGAACTAAAGTGAGTAAGCCAGTGATGGCTAGAGGGGACAGTAGAGGGGGAGGGAATTAAGTAGAGGGTGTGGGAAGGGGTGCTGTAGTAAGAGTAGAGGTGGATGGCAACCGAGTTTGGAAAGGGTTCGATGCCTGGTTTCTGATGATCCTGAGGCCCAGCTACATTCCTACCTTTGGTTCCTATGAATCCTCTCGGGGTCTTTTCTATGATTTCTACTTTTTCTTAAACTGTGAATTGGATTTCAATATTTTCCAATCAATAAAAGTAACACATAACAACATTATAACATTGTGCTTAGGAATTTACAGCCAGGTGTAAAATTAGCATTTGAAACAAGATTCTGCTATTTATTGTCTGTATCACAGAGAACCAATTTCTTAATCTCTCTAAATTTTAGTTCTCTTATCTAAAAATGAAGGGCATGAATAAAACCTAACTGATGGAACGATTTAATGTGATTATATATGCACATTTTTAAAAAAGATTTTATTATTTATTTTTCAGAGAGAGAAAGAGAGAGGGAGGGAGGGAGCACAAGCAGGGGGAGTGGCAGGCAGTGGGAGGAGCAGGCTCTCTGCTGAGCAAGGAGCCCAATACGGGACTCTATCCCAGGACCCTGGGATCCTGACCTGAGCCAAAGGTGGATGCTCAACTGTTCAACCGACTGAGCCACCCAGGTGTCCCTATATGCACATTTCTTATACACAATATCTAACATATAGTAAGTTCCTAAATAAGGAAGGAAATGCAGCCTGGCTCAAGGGTGAAAGTCTGCTTTGAATTGGTATTTCAAATCTACCCTCATTGGTGTATCTTACTTTTTGTGGCACGTACTGCATTCCCATTTATTAAATTCTTTTTATGATTGAATATATTTAGAGTACAACTTCTCTCCTTTCCCCTATGAACATTTATGCTCATCTCATCTTTGATATATCAGTTTCTGTTAGATATCCTAGGTGGGGCATTTGTGAATGAGAAAATATTTGATGCTGAGAAATTGGGGAAACGATGACATAGATGGATCCTCTTCAAGCATAAGTTGGCAAGTGTGAAGTATCCCAGTCTATGAAGAGAAAAGTACGTTCATAGGATGGGATCCTGGAACACAGACGGTGGAAACTTGCCCTTCCTAATGCTCTTGGTGATGGTGGTCTTTGCCTATTATAAGACATAGGTTGTGAGAGTAAGAAGAATGGAATCTGGAAGGACTTGGACTGGATCAACCTTTGTGGATGAGGCTTGAGATACCACTTTGTTGTTCCCGTGGTAGAGGCCCATATCCTAATGTCCAGTCTACAGGGATCCTGTGAGTCAGCTCTCCCCTCACCACAACCATAAACCAAGTGAGGCACAACAGGTAGGGGAGGTGGGGGGTGGTGTTTGTGAGGAAGAGGCTTTCCCAAGGGCATTAAATTCTAAAACCCAAGAAGTAATGATACGATAAACAAATGTAGCAGAAAGTAAAATGTGGGTCTCTAGTAAGTTAACATGTATTTTTTTTTAATGTAGCATATCTACCAAAAGTAAAAATAAATAAATAAAATGACTCATTTTATAAAATTTTTATGAAATGAAATGAAAAGTATACATAAAAAGGTTAAAAACCTACACAGGGGGCACCTGGGTGGATCAGTTTGTTGAGAGTCCCACCCTTGATTTCAGCTCAGGTTGTGATCTTGGGGTCCTGGGATTGAGCCCTGCATCAGGCTCCATGCTCAGTGGGGAGTCTGCTTGGACTCTCTCTCTCCCTCTCCCTCTGTCCCTCCTCCCACTTGCTGCACACCCTCTCTCTCTCTAAAATAAATCTTTTTTAAAAATTGCAAATAAAACTCTACACACAATTTAATGATATTGATAAAAAAGGTTAATATTTTTAAATATGTTCCCTTACCTGAGCCAAAACTGGAATTCAGACTGCTAAGTGGCAGATTTGAATTTGTAATCGGCTTGCAATTCCCAGGAAATTATGATCGAAAGACTGAATATCTTCTCACACAATAGATCAGAGTACATTTAAAGAGATTGAAAACTGCTTTTCTGACAAATTCTGGGTGTTGGTTTGAGAGGAAGACTAGGGTAAAGGTACTATATTTTCTGTTTACATCCAAATTGTAGTGTGTGTGGAATTCTGTGATGTATCTAATTTAGCAATAACCAAATAAAAGTGTAATGGAAAGAAATGATTCAGATTTGCACAAAAATATAAAATTGTAAGAAAAATACTTAAAATACATTTATGGGCCATTTAAGAAAATTTGAATACACGGAGAGACATAGTGTTCTTATATGGCAAGGTCAAATACTAAATACTGATCATTTAAATTATCTACATATGGCTGAGATAAATGGAAGTATTGGTATATTATGGGGTATTATTTTAATACTCTATACAAATTATATCTGCTAATACACTAGTCCCCCACTCATACGCAGTTTTGCTTTCTGCAGTTCCAGTTACCCACAGTCCGGAAGCAATGATCCTCCCCTCATATGGTCAGAAGGACAATAGTAACCTGGGTCATGATGCCCACGTCATTCTCCTCACAAGATTACCCTCTCTATGGTTTTTCATTTCCTATTTTGTTGTATTCTTTTTCTTGTTTCTAATTTTTTTTTTATCTTTACTCTTTACATAAAATTAAAGATATTTTCCTTAAAAATTGATTTAGTTCATGGAGCACCTGGGTGGCTCAGTTGGTTAAGCATCTGACTCTTGATTTCGGCTGGAGTCATGATCTCAGGGTTGTGGGTTCGAGCCCCATTTGGGGCTCCATGCTGGGCCTGGAGCCTGCTAAGATTCTTTCTCTCCCTCTCCCTCTCCCCCTCCCTCAACTCTCTCTCTACCAAAAGAAAAAGAAAATGATTTAGTTCATGATTCGTGTGTTGGTTTTACATTTCTTTAAGTCAATTAAATTTATGGTTGTTTCTGTCTCTAAGTTTCTTCTCTTTGATTTATTGTCATCTACTTAGGTTCTTGAGATAAAGACTGATTCATTTACTTTTATTTTTTATGTGGTAAAGGCTAAAGCCTATGAATTTGTTTCTGAGAGCAGCTTTGGTACTATACCTGTGTTGAAATGTGGTGCTATAATGTTAGGTTTCTGAATAGTGTATGACTGTGGTTTTATTTTCCAGTTTGTCCCAACAGTTATTTAGGCAAATTGTTTGTTTATGTAATGTTGCTTTGTTTTAATGTTTGTTTTTTAAAATATTTTGGAGATATTTTTATGAAAAAATTATTTTTAGTACTATTAAACTGTGACCATATGTGATTTCTGTAATTTCTATTATTTATCACTTAGTTGCTCTTGACTAATACTGATCTATTTTGCTAAATAAACTATAGATGCTTGAAAAAATGTGTGTAGTGTCCATTTGTAGGGTATAGGTATTTATAGATATCAATTGTTAACTTTTTCTTTTATTTCCTTGATTTAGTTAAATTACATGATTCTTCTCTAGTGATTTGGTAGTTACTCATCATGTTTATAGTTTATATGTGTTTATATTTCCCCTTAATATATCGCCATACATTCTTTATACCTTATACTTGAGTCATTATCAAAGCCAAGAATGAAGCAGTACAGTCGACTCCTCCCAGTTAAGATGAAGATCTTGGTACATTTTTCCTTTATAATCCTCCCACTCCTCCTTCCCACTTCCATGTCTACATTCCATTTCTAATTTCTGTCAACATAGTCCGTAATTTAAAACCAACTGATGATGATGTTTACTTTTTAAAAAACATTTAAGTCTTTTTATTTTGCCAATAATTTTCACATTTGCATTCAGTTTTCTAAGCATATTTCCAATGATTATGTAAATTTACCTTTATGTTCATTCATTGCTGTGTTCCTGTCCCTGCACAATGGCTGGCACATCATCCATTTTCAGGAATTCTGGTGAAGGAGCCAATGCAGTAGAATGAGAGAGAAGGTAAGAACCTGACCAAGTGAACTTAAACTGCCATATGAGTGTTGCTTCTGTAAGTGAAGGTTACCATAAACACACTATCACCAAGATGATGATAAATCCATAAAGCAGATTTTCCCTTGACAGTCCCAACTCTGCCACAGTCACAAACACACGCATACACACAAATCCATTCTAATGGGAATAAACACTTTACTACTTCCCAATGTGCAAATACTCTTGGAATGTGGGGCACCTACATTGTGCCTATTCATTGTTCATTCTTATTAGCCCTTTTAATGGATTCATCTATAAATAACTGTAAACAATGGTCTCAAACTCAGCTGCACTTTGTAATCTCATGGCAAGATTTTTAAATGCTTCTAAAGACCTAGCCGCTCACCAGCCCAATTAAGTCCAGATCACTCTGGTTGAGACCCAGGCATCAGTACTTTCTAAAGCTCCTCATGTGACTACAGAGCACAGCCAGGAGTAAGAACACAGGAGAGTCAGTATAAGTCTGAACCCTCAGTCTAGCTGTGCTCGTAGACATAACGCAACACAAGAGCTTTGGGGGGTATTTAAAAAAGAGATCCCGGGAAACAGAGCTTTCTTTAGGACCATGATAACCACGTCAAAATGGAAAGCACTTGTATTCATTGCAATAACTTCCATTGTTTTTAACATTCCGATGAATGAAGCATCCAGCTCTTGTTTTGGGGGTGAGAGTAGAGACAACAAGAGAGTCTAGAGTTTGATGGACATCTCAGCTAAAACCCGCATGGAACAACAGAATGTAACCCAATTTTTCAAAATTAGGAACCGTTTCATAAATTTGATTGGGGAGATCTCTTCCACAAGAATATTTGGAGTTATGGTCCCAATTTGAGGTCTTACAATTTTTTTCTTTACTTTTAGGCAGACTGCCACGTAGATGTTTCCTTATTTTGTGGAGACTCAGACATTTGAATTCAGAATATGGACCAGATTATCTAATTTTGAAGCCTACCTGAGTAGAATCAAGAAAATATTCTCTCTTGAAATGCTCTTTGAACATTGTTACCATAATAACTATAATGCTTGACTTGAGGAAAGATACAGACTTAAAAAAAAAAAAAAGGAAAAACAAAAAACTCATTTGCAAACTTTTGGTGGCATTTTGGTATACACTTCTTTCTAAACACACTGTTAGGTGATAAATTAACAAAACCATTCAAACTATAGTTATTACTACTTTATAATGAAAGGAATCAACCAGTTGTTTCATACATGATAACCATATTCATTCAATTGCTATTTTTTTAATTTAAAATTTGTTTGAGGGCATCATTCAATTTATTTTTAATTTTTTTCTTCCAAATTTTTTGAGGTATAATTGACAAAGTTTTATATATTCAAAGTGTACAATGTGATGATTTGATATACATATATGTTGTGAAATGATAACCACAATCAGGTTAACGCATCCATTACTTCACATATTTAATGTTGTGTGTGTGTGTGTGTGTGTGTGTGTGTGTGTGTGTGTGTGTGTGATGAGAACACTTAAGATCTACAAATTTCGAGTGTATGAGCCAGTGTTATTAACTGTGGTCACAATGCTGTACGTTAAAATCAATCAATTTAGTAGTTAACATACTCAGACCTCTTAGGAAAGAGAGAATATCTACAGACAACAATTAGCTAAATTAGCTTCACAGAGCTAAAACTTCTCATTATTTTTGGTCTCTTCCCTGCTAGGTAGTATCCCATTCATTTTATTTTGTGGTTGTTTTTAAGTATGTTGCTAAAAATATGCCAATGCACTTAATTATGTTTTACAGATGGCTTTCTTTGTAATAGAATTTGGATTTCTGAAGATACAGCGCTTGACTGAAAAAATATCAAGCAGAATATGGGATCTTTGGAATTTAATCATATAGAAAAATAATCCAGAAGTTGGTGTGACTTAAGTGTCTTCTACAGTGATTTTCGCCTAGTCCTGTGGTTCTCAAAGAATACTTGGACCAGCAGCATTCCTGTCACTTGAGAATTTTAGAAATGCAAATTCCCAGGCTCCACCCAGCCTTACCGAATTAGAAACTCTGAGGTTTGCGGCCAGCAATCTCCTCTGTTTTTCTGTTACACTCTGAAGTTTGAGGATCTCTGACATGATAAAAATGCCCCCAAAAGGTACTAGAATAAACATAAAACAACAAAACCTATGACTCATCCACTGCCTTGTTTTATTTTGTTTAGAAAATGATTCATCTGCATTAAAAGATAGTATTTGCCCAGGAAGTTCATTTTTCTCTTCAGTAGAATTAATCAGGGTACCAATCATTCTATTATATTTTTCCATTATGTGTCAAAGATTCATGACTGGTTTTCAACATCTTTTAAAGTACACTTAAGTGATCATTAATTCCTCACATTTGCTTTCAAAAATTCTTTCAAGCAGCAGAGTGTTAGATTTCACGTGTTCTTTACTTACCTCATTGAGATAATGTTACTATAATGATCTCACTTATATGTCGCATAATTAGATCTAATATCTCTCTAATGAGATACACCATGTTATTTGGAACCAGCTGCTCTATCATGGATAGCAAAGGACACTCTACACTAAATTTTCCAAGATATTCAAGAATAATGTTAAGTGGTCATTTCATACAAATTATTTTTCCTCCTTTCTTTAAGAATCTGTTTCTGGTTGGATATTAACATTCACAATTACTCAAAGGCTAAAGGAGTCAGCTGACTTTGGCGTGAGACATAGTACATGACAACTGTTTGTTGGGATAATAAAAACTCTCTGTTATCAAGAAAAAAAAAAAAAACAGTTACCTGAGAATCCAGACCAGGGTACTCTACACCTTTATTTTGCATTTGTACATTTATAGTAGGTGTTAAATTCTTATGATATTATAGTTTGAGAAAGAACATTTTTCATATGAAGAATACATTTATTAGGAAAGAGCTGCATGGAGGCTTAAGAATGTGGTAGCCATTTTTTTCAGTAACTGCTTATGTATGTTCAATAAATATGAGATGAAAATAAGTATATATATATCTTTGGGGCTTGCTTCACCAGTTACTTACTCATATAGAAATACATATGTGCATATTTAATGCGGACTAATGAATACACAATGGACACATGTAGATACCCAAAGCGAACTGCATGGAGCCTACCCACTAGTTTACATTTAGTGGGATTCTCATCTTTCTGCTGAATGTAAATACATGACTATTTATCTAAACTCTATTTGCTTGTTAATGAAACCAGAGCATGCAGCTTTTTATGAAAGTGTGATGAATTAATGGCTAAGATTATTTCACCTCCCTACAGCCTTCTGAGTTTCTACAGAAGAGGAAATTAAAGGAGACAAACTGAACTGTGATGCTCCGGGACTCCCTTGATTCTGCCTGTCACTGTTATAAGCCAGCTCAAGGCCTCGGGGGAGTCTGCCTGCTCTAGCCTTCCTCAGCCAGCCAGACGGTGACGGCCCACTGCTTTTATTCATTACCCTGAATGTAATGCACTAAATTTAACAAGTAACACACTCAGCAGGAATTTATTGGCCTTTTGCAGCATGATTGCAAGGTAGGATATGGATATGGATTCCAATTACTGTTGACACCCAGATAAGAAGAACAAAGCCTATATATAATTATTAATCAAAGTTGATAGTTTAAGGAAATGAAAATAAATAAATAAATAAATAAATAACTCACTCTATTTTACTTAAAGCAAATGTTCCCAGGTTGAAAGAACTCTCCCTGGTTACATAATGGTAGCATTCCAATTAAATATAATAGCAATAATAAAATAGCAGCGTAGTGGCAAAGTGATCCTATAAAGCAACAATTTTCACATAAAAAAAAGCTGTGTGGAGCAGATGTACAGTAGAGGAAAGGCTAGACTTGTGATATGTAAACAAACAGTCAAATAACCAGCAATCTTTAAGGATTTAGTGTTTTAGTTAGAAAAAATAATCCATATAATCCATTTAATATTGTTATTCCAGATGATAGTTACAAATAGCTCTATTTTAATATGATAGGAAGAGTGATTGTAAAAAAATATGGGGTCACACTTTCATATCTATAGCACTGGCATTACCTGATCATGAAAATTAAATATTGTTGGCATAGAGATATTTATGAGGAAACTCAAAGTCCTTGGGTTGCAATAAGAACATGAGAAAAGGAGCTAGAATTTTCACTCACTTTGGGCAAAGGTTTGTTATAGTTATTGTTTGTTTTATTTATAAAGGCCAAAGGAACACAATACATGAAATAGCATAGGAGAGAGAGAACAGGATTTTATTTTACCAGACTGGACATGGATGAAAAATGTAAAAAATATAAGGCATATGACAACAAAGGGAACATCACTCTCTCCATGATTAACCCAAATGGCCAAATTATTCTTGAAATAAGAGGCAACATGCATCACTGGTAAAGGCTTGAACTCTCACATTATAAAGAATCATATCCTGGCTTTAATAATTACTAGGACTCTGACCTTGAGCCACTAATTTAATCTCTTGTAGCCTGTTTCCTCAGGTGTAAAAATAGGGATGATTATAGCAGCTACCTGTGTTGTTATATTGACAATACTGCATTATATACTTCAAAGTTGCTAAGAAACCAGATTAAATTGTTCTCACCACAAAAAAGAAATGATCATTATGGAACATGATGGTGGTGGTAGCTAAAGCTATTGTAGTGGTAATCATATTGCAATATACAAAAGTATCAAATCAACATGTTATACACCTTAAACTTACACAATGTTATATGTCAATTATATCTCAAAAATATTTGTGATAAACTAATATGGTTCTGAGCACAAAGTAAAAACTCATTAAATATTAGCAAATTTTATGTTATTTAGTATTATTTTAATCTACTCGATATTAAAAATCATTAAACCAGTAAACAAATAGCATCATAATCTTTTACACCCAGATAGGCTTCAGTACAAATCTGAGCTCACATA